TAAATCCTGGCAGCCAAGTGAAAACTGCTGTCCCCATGGCAACATCTGTTCGGCATAAAAGCGCTGCACCGTTGGACCTCTTTACATTGCCTGCACACGCTCAATGTCATTTGTATTTGAACTTTGAAAAAGGCTTCTGAGATAGCCGAAGCGTTAGTTTAGAGTTATTTCTTTATTTGTAGCTTCATTTCAGTAGTAAGTTTTTTTTTTGGCAAAAATACAAAAATACTTTTTGTTAGATTAGGATCGTATGGGATAGGATATAATTAACTTTGAGAAAAGGAATGACGTTAAATATATTTGTGCATATTCTACTCTAATCGCACACGAACGCCATTAAAAGAAATAAGAAATTTTTGTACATCAGAAAATGAATCATAATGCAAAATATAGCTGTGTTCGTTAAAATATTTGGATTTAGACTAAGTAGTACTATAGATATAATAAATAAGTTTTTGAAAACTTGACCAGACTGGCATCAAACTTAAGAAATAGGTTTAAGTCCCAACTAGCAAAGCTCTCTATTGTTGTTGCCTGAACACCAAAACGCTGGCTTAATGTTGTGTGGAATGCAAATTTGCTTTCTGCAACATATTTGCTCTAAAATGAGGTGTTTAAAATATTCTTTACCATAGTTATACAACACCTTATAGGGCAAATTTTTAACCGTTGCATAAACGTTTATAGAACTATTTTATACGGCATATTTGCACGTTAGTCAGTGTGTTGTGGCATCCATGGTAACGTTTATAAAACAAATCCGAGCCTTGTTGTTTTGCTGTGCATATTACTACTTTACCCAACAAGTTGATCCCAACGTAAGCACTTATACAACTGTTGTTTAGTAACTGTTAAAGGCTGTACATATACTAAATATTTTGGTATACAACTTCACCATAACCTAACTTTCTGCTGTCATATTTTTGTTAAAATGCCATAACCAATGATTTAAGACAAACAACGCATGCATATTGGTTCAAAAGGTTTCATCAACTGTTCAAACAGAAGATATAGATCTGGTACAAATTCTGGGTAAATCATTGGACTCTCTCGGTATTTCATTTCATACATTTGTCAAATTGTTGTATAACACCTGCAGGTAACACCAAAATATTCTAATAAACTGAAGACAACATGGACGGTACCATAATTATACACAACCACCAGCCGTATTGGGCAAACATTTATTCCTCTATTTAAGATTAAATAATTATGTTTCAGTTCGAAATTACAGATATAAAGTGATAAACATTAGTGTAATTGTGTCTGAATATAGGATTTGTGGAAGATTTGACGCAGATAAGTTCAGTTTTCCATCTTAAAAATCTAGACATACTTTTGATCATTATCAAAATATGCATGAAATAAGAAGCCCGTAGAAATTGCATAGCTACTTTGCACGATAATCACAATAAAATTTGGTGCGCAAGTAATTCAATAGCCCTATATCACAGTGTAGAAGTTTATCATATACCTGTGTATGAAATTCACAATGGCCGATATGTAAGTAAACAAGATGACTGTAATATGTTAGTTATATATTCTTCACTTCGTCTATGCAATACATAAGAAATAGTTTGGTTGCAATAAAGTAGAATCACGTAACAGAATAGTTGTATAGTTGACAAAAACTGAATCTTGCACTGACGCAAATGTCCTATAGCGGCTGCAAGGGGCTTACACTTTTGTTGTATAAATGTTACCTGCAGCCCTTATACAACCTCGTAAATGACTGAAGTGTCCTACTCGGTATCCCCATTCCGCTTGTATAGCTGTTCTAAGAGAGTTTTGCCAATGTTCTTACAGTATGCAATGCTGTGTAAGGAATACTGTATAATCATTTTTGCAACTCTAATAGGAGTGATAATTGTTAGTTGGGGTGTTTCTTTTATTAAAGTTGATCCAAGAATCTCCCCCCTAAATATTTTACATTTCATTTTTTTGAAACACCTAAAAGCTTTTTGATCTCTTTTTGGTTTGTTTTTGGAATGCCACTCGTTTCAGTATACCACTGATCCATGTACAATCATTGTCCCTCTGTGGATTAAAACTTATTTATTCACCCATTCTATACTAAGTGACACATAAATCCGAACACCCAGTTTGAATGGTTTTATTTTAATAAAATTTTGTATAAGTACTTAATGAAGCATGATAAGTAAATGATAAAAATTTCAAAATGATTGCACTGCCTTAAAGCCCTTTGACCTTTAATAATGTGTGGATGCACCCTGATGTGCTACGCATTCTCCAACGCGCCTAGGCATGCTTCTGATCAGGTGGTCAATGTCCTCCTGTGGTATCTCATTCCAGGCAACCACCAACTCCTCTCGAAGTGCTTCTAGAGTCTGAGAAGGACGTTGCAAATTGAGCAATCTCCTACCCATCATATCCTACACGTGCTCAATTGGGGATAAGTCGGGAGATCTTGGTGGCCATGGTAACAATGTGACATCATTATGTTGAAAGAAGTCTATTGTGACTCTTGCAACATGTGGTCGGGCATTATCTTGTTGGAAAGTTGGATCTGCCAGGGTGTCAAGATAGGGTAAAAGATGGGGTTCTAGAACTTCGTGGATATAACGCTGCGCGTTCATGTTACCTCTGATGAAGATTAAAGGTGACCTGGAACCATAAGCTATAGCACCCCAAACCATAACTCCAACAGTGTGATGAACATGTCTTTCAACAAAAAACTGTGGATTCCTCCTTTCACCACGTCGCCTTCTAACCCTGGCACGACCATCGTGCACGAATAAACAAAATCGAGACTCGTCACTAAAGACAATACTGTTCCATTCCTGATCCCAGAGTGACCGTTGTCTGCACCACTCAAGGCGATTACGTCGGTGTTCTCGAGTTAAAGGGAGGACGCAGTGTGGCCGGTATGAAAACAAGCCAAAACTTCTCATTCGTCGGTAAACACTTCACTTGCCAATAGCTCTTCCGTGTTCTGCAAACCATTCATTTGCAATGGACCTGGTAGTGGAGAAACGGTCCCTTATGGCCAATAATCTTAGGCGGCGATCTTCACGGTCTGTTGTTCTACGGCGGCGTCCAGTGCCCCTTGCTCTTTGCGTACGGCCTTCTCGAAGCCATGCCTGACAACACCTAACGACAGTGTCTACACTTCTTTGCACTCTAACTGCAATTGCCCGAAAAGAAAGTCCAGCTTCCTGAAGTCCCACTATACGGCCCCAATCAAACTCACTAAGTTGACGAAATCGTACAGGTCTCCGTACTCTAGGCATCGTAACCGATCGTAAAGGATGTCAAGAACCAAAATCCGCCAACGTTGATTCTTTACTGCGGCTGAAATATTCATTTTTAGAGCGTTAGTGAATTAAAAAAAAGCAGTATAAAAACCGGAATGTCTAACTGATAAGGCTGAAAATTTTTTCACTTGTTATTTACAGTAAGATAAATACATTCACCAACTTTTATTAAATAAAATAAAACCATTTAAGCTGGGTGTTCGGATTTATATGTCACTTAGTATATATTATTATTATGTTTCTGTATCGAGGTACTTACTTTGATACGAAATGCAACATGCTTCGTAATAACGATCATCGCCATCATATCCTGATGAGCCTGATGAGCATATTCATCTAATTAATTGGATCACCAAAGTAGACATTCCTATGATAATTTGTAACCGGCGCTCCTCTTTTGCTCTCTCACTGTTTCCGTCTAATTGCCTTCGAAATGAGCAACAGCAGTCTAACCAACTTCGGATCCTAGATGTTAATCTGCAAAATAGTCGAATATATTTACACTGAATGGAACATGGACAACTAAAGCAGATTCACATTTTTATTCATGGCACATTTCGTGACAAACGGACGAAGTATTTTAAATCCCTATCTTAGAAGGTGTCACAATATGCATCCTTCAGTTAGCCGTTCATAAGTCGATCGTAACTAAGGCATGGTCACATCTTAGTAGGTGAAAATTTATAAACTACATGACTACGGTGCAGAAATACCAGTTTTGTCCTCGGTGGCAACGTGAAAACGAAAATTGGTGCCTCCTCTTGACACGCAGCGCTGTCATCAGTTCATAAAGGATTATGTTCGTCACAAGTATAACAAGACATGTATAACAAGAAAATTAAGAGGATCAAGCTAGACCAGAGTTCCCCAAACTTTTTTGTGTCGTAGACCCCTTGCCATGTTTTTCCGTGTTGGGTAGACCCCCTACTTACCTGATACTGATTTCCTGTAAATTTCTAACTGTAGTGAAGTTTAGAGTTAAAAACTTAAAATAAAAACACATGTTAATTTATACATTTATTAATTTAATTTAAATTAAAACTACTCAAAATAATATTTTGTATCTGTTATGCAAAATATACGTTACATTAAATAAACAGGTGTCTGACCAATTAGTGCCCGTATTGGGAATAAGTGCCCGCATTGAAAAAAAAAATAAGAGGGATAAAATAAAAAAAAGTGAAAAATAATTAAAAAAAGTTTTTTACTTAAAATAGTATGTTACAATAAGCGAGTTCGTTTATTAATTATAACATAAACGTATGTTCTACAATAATTTCACTGTTAGTTTGATTAAATTCCGCTTCTTATACGTTTAAGTTATCTAAAAATAGGCAAAAAATTAACGAATTTTAGTGTCTACCTATCCTTGAATTTTCAGAATAATTTAAAAAAAATATTTTCTATAAAGGGAGGTTCTTTAAAAAAATCAATGCGGGCACTTATTCCCAATGCGGGCATTTATTGGTCAGACACCAATAAACATAAAATAAACTATAAATAAAATAACATAAGCAATAAGTCAATATTTTTAGTGAGAAGGATGAACCTGATGCTTTAATAATAAATTATCAACATTTGGAGTCAATTTTGTAAGGGTTAATCTTAAATCTCTTCGGCTAATGATGTCCAGTCTGTTTCTTTTTTTCGTTAGGAGATTGGTAACAGCGCTGAACCCCCTTTCCACTAGGTATGACGATGGAAAGGAAATAAAAAATTTCCTCGCTATATTCCATAATACGGGATAAGTAACGGGTATATGTTGTTTCGCAGCCAGAATTGCTGATATCCGTTTTTAAACTGAACCTTAAGTTCTTCGTTTGTACTTGGTTCAGTCAGTTCCTCTTGTATTATGACATTCGTTTCTTCTATGTCACCATATGGATTAATTATCCACGGTGGTATTACCATAGTCAAAATATCCTCAAACCCAGATCCAAAATCTGAATAGAGGGCATTTAAATGTTGAACGTAAGTTGAAACGTCGTCTTCCTGGCAGCTTGTCTGTGACAAATTGGGGAACTGAGAAAATTCGCCCCGTCCAATATTCTGCTTCATTAGTTTAACTCTGGCAAGAAACGCTGATAAGATGGACTTTGTTTTAATCAAATTTAAACTGTCGCCTTGTAATTGCAAATTAACCATATTAAATTTTGTAAACAAATCTGTTAAATAGGCGATGTCTGTTTTCCTCTTCATTAAATTTTCTTTTAAAATTTTATCTTTAGTATCCAGAAATTCTAAAATAGTCTCAAAAAGTGCAAAAAATCTTGTCAAACATAAGCCTTTCGACACCCAGCGTACTTCAGTGTGAAGGAGTAATTGATGAAAGTGTTCGTCATTTTCTTCACACAACTGCGCAAATAACCGCGTATTCAACGCGTTGCTTCGGATTCGGTTTACTGCATCAATGACTAAATGAAGTGATGCATGCAATCTAACACTCAAATTTTTAGCAACTAAATGTTGTCGATGGATGACGCAATGTATTGCTAACACCCCTGACACATTTTGTTTTAAATAGCTTATAAATCCACGATAACGTCCAACCATGGCAGGTGCTCCATCTGTAGCTACTGATATTATATTTGATAAAGGAATTGCTTTTTCAATGAAGTAATCCTTCAAAACATGAAATATTGATTCACCTTTAGTGTCGGTTATCAAAGCTCTTGCGAAGAGCAGTTCTTCGTAGATTTCTTGATTCATAATAAAACGAACGTATGCCAACAATAATGCTGCATTATCAGGTAAAGTTGACTCGTCCAGTTGTATAGAGAAATGGGTCGTTTGCAAATAATTACATAAGAAGCTTTCAATATCAGAACTCATTTCATCAATACGTCTTTCAACAGTATTGTTGCTTAAGGGAATTCTTTTAATGATATCAGATGCAGGTTTGTGTAAAACAGTTCTTAAAACCTTCAACGGCTGGCAAAATTAACTTCTCTCCGATAGTATGCGGTTTTCCGGATTTTGCTATAAGTAACGAGATATTGTAAGACGCCCGCAAACCATCATCATTTCTTTGTTGACGTCTAAGCGAACATTCTGTCCAGTGTAGGTCTCTTTGAGTGTTTGAAAGTATTTCAAATCTTTCTCTGTTTTATCCGGGTGGCATCTTCTCAGATGATCTTGCAGTTTAGATGGTTTCATAGCTCGAATTACGGAGATTGCACTGTAATTATATTACCGATTGCTAAAACTTTCAAAAAGAAACTATTGAGGAGTACTCGTGTAATTTTGCATGATTGAATATTTAACTACTAATAACTAAAGTCATGATTGGCGTAATTTATCTATCTTTCCTAACTGTACTCGTACAAAACTAAAATTTAATAAAAAATAATGTACTTACTTTTCTCCAGCACTCTCAAACACAATAACACTGACTCACTATAATTTGTGTGATATATGTACTATCTGTTTATATTTTTTAAAATATTTTCTTAGCACTTTCCTTTTCAAGATTCAGGAAACGAATAAACGTATTTGTCCCACATTCGTATTTATAGAGTGACGAATTGAACAAGTCAGTGCAAGGTATCGAAGCTCTGGGACTGCGACTCTCAGGTTTTTACAAGTTCAAAATGTATTGCGACCACAAAGTGAATACCAACATCCTACAACTTACACAATTTTATAAACATATATAATAAATTTTTTACTTCATAGGTACTTTGATAAATAATGTATATGTTTTGATATTATAAGATAGTATGATGTAAGTAAATAGGTACTATCAGTGTATGTGTTGAGATCCACTATCGTGGACCCCCATATTCATTTCATGGACCCCCAAATTTTTTTTCGCTGACGTAGACCACTTGCAGGTTGTCATAGACCCCTAGGGGTCGATATATACCACTTTGGGAATCAGTGAGCTAGACAAACAGGCCCGTAGAGTTAGTCCAAAGTCTCCAGCCATTTGATTAGGCTGCGAACCAGAAATTTCTTTCCTGTCCTACCGAAGGTATCGACCACCCGGAAACATTACTGAACCACACTAGTCAGACATGTCATAAGCCAGCGCTAATAGTGAGCGGTGAGCGTTCAGGCGCAGATAGTATTTTGTGCACATATACAGGGTGATTCACAAGTAATGACTAAAAATGAAACATCATACACAGGACCGCATTTCAAGGGGGGTCTTCTATGTAACATCTTTTTCTTGAGGGCTTCATTAAAAAGATACGGGGTGTTGAAGTTAAAAAATAAAAGATTTTTTTTTAATATGTTCAAAACCGTCAACTGGAATGAACTAACATTTGGTATGTGTATTAACCTAAGTCTTTAATTAAAATTAAAGTGCACCAGTGGCGGAGATACAGGGGATTAGTGGCATTATTTTTCCAAATAAAAATAGTACGCCACTGTTTTTTTCCGAAACGCGCAATCTTTCGAATATTACCTTCAATTTGCTACAAATCATTACTCTTGTGTTTTTCTTCTAGAGTGCACTGTTTTCGTAAAAATAAAAATAAAACGAATTAGATCATTCATGAAGAGCCGAGATACAATTAGTTTCAAAATAGAAGAGGCCTTGATACCAACTTGACGTTCCTTGAGAGATAGTTTGCCAAAGTTATGTTATACGGTTGTTATCGTCACTACTACCATTTTTTTTTAAGTCAAATCAAAAGTTTTTTTTCTATTTTTGAGTGTTGTGAAATGGAATTTGGCAATGATTAGTACGCCGATATTATTTTTGTGTACGGGTTCGGGAATAGAAATGCTTTAGCGGCTTTTCGGGAGTATCAAAGTAGATTTCCTAACAGACGCCAACCTACCCCAAAGACCCCAAAAAAAAAGAATAGGATAATGGTTTCATCAAATTCAAGCCACAATAAATTTTGCGGAAATATCTACGTTTTCTTTATTAAGAAAATGCCGCACTTGTATCCGTCAGAATGGTGGTCTTTTTTAACATTTATTGAAATCAAGCTTTGATTATCTAATTTGTTTTATTTTTTTATTTTTACGATAACAATGCACTCTAGGAAAAAAGTCAAAAGGAATTATTTGTAGCAAATTAAAGGTAAAATTCGAAAAATTGCGCATTTATAAAAAAACAGTGGAGTACCTACTATTTTTATTTGGAAAAACAATGCCATTAATCTTCTGTATTTTCGCCACTGGTACACGTTGATTTTGAGTAGACTTTTGAATGTAAACACTACTTCTTAATCTACATATCAAATTTTAGTTTATTCCAGTGGACGGTTTTCTAGATATTAAAAAAATTGTTTTTTATTTTTAAACTTCATCTTTTTAGTGAAGCCCTCGAGGAAAAATTTTACATAGAGGACCCCAATTAAAATGCGATCCTGGGTATGATGTTTCATTTTTGGTCACGACTTGTGAATCACCCTGTATAGTGTTGCCGTGCGACATCGACTGATATGCAACGTGTTTGTTGAAAAGTCAAGGCAAGGCAAATCTACAGGGGAATCTATGATATGTGAAATATGTACTGATAGATGCGTATCCAGGCGGAAATCTTTGCGATTCGGGCTTACCTACTCCGCATTTTGGGGGGGAAAGGCCATGGAGATGAATAACAATCTTCTCCGACAGTCAGGCTTCAATGAAGCCACTATGTGTCAGCAAGGCCAGTTCGAGCTTTGTATTGCAATGCAAGGAGGATCTGGATAGTCTAGCTGCAAGGCATCCGGTATCGTTGGGCAATGATACGGCGCATGCTCTTGCGAAAGCAAGCTCTTTGGTCCTGAGCCGGCCGCGCAAAGAGTCATGAGGAAAATGGAGGAGTGGATGACTAGACAACACTCTCAGAAATGGAGAAGCATGTCTAGCCATCTCCGTCAGGCAAGGGAGCTCATCGTAGGATGGACGCTTATGCTTATCTTTGGATAGAGCCAAGGTTGCTGGTGGGACTATTGTGTGTTCATAACACGTTGGACACCTGCATGTGATGAAGGTAACTGAGGATTCCTTGTGTGATCCCTGCGGAGAAGACAAAGAGACCTCGGCGCATGTTGTGTGTTGCTGTGAGGCTCTGAGCTACTACAGACAGACTTTACTGGGGTCCATCACTTTGGACCCCTGAACGTTAAGGAGCTGGGACGGAAGGCTATACTCAACTTTGCTAGTAGGCTAGAGCCTGATGTTTAAGGAATAGAATAGAATTATCGAGGTTGAAAGTGTATAATTATGCTACCCCCAAAAATTTAGATATAAGCCTTCCTCCCACTTCCTACAGCGCTCAATCCTCTATTTTTAACTCCGCGAAAAAATGTACAGATTTTTATTTTTTTCCCTCTTCTCCCGTAGCTCCGCTCTGCTGTCCACAGACCGATTTTAAAAAAAGACGAAGCTTTTTCGTTTCGATATATTGGTAACCTTGTGTGAGAATGTTATCAACATCCTAACAGAACTTTAAAAGTTATAGCCAGAGAGTCCGACACTCAGACAGATCAACGGAAATGAGAGACATGGTTTTTCGTGATGTAGATGTCATATAACATCAAAAAAAACATAATTTCCCATTTTGTCAATATCGAGCGATTGCAACACTTATTTCCTCTCCAGCAGCGTGCGAAGTAATATCATAAGTGCGTAGAACCGAATTTGAAGTGAAAAATTAGCATCCTAGACCTCTTGTTAATCCCAGTACCAAACTGACATCGTATCCGACATCTATTCAACTGGTTCACCAAGGAAACAGACTCTGACGGAAGATGCGCAAGGATTTTTGTAGTGGATTGTATAGTAATTATATAACTCTTACCTATATCTCGAAAACGAAACGTTAACAGACTGAATGGGCTTAAATTTGTTTACAGTTGAAATTCCTAAATACCCTATTTTTCACACCTTGCACCTTCTGTTACATGCTCACTAAAATTGTGCTTAACTCGAGGTTAAAATAACCACAGTCAGAAACATTTTGGGGCGCTGGAACTGAATCCAAAACATTTTAAATGTATTTGCATTCTAAATGTACTGGTTAGTTTGTGAAGAAATGAAATAACATACTTCTAAGTATGGGACTTCGCCATGCAAAATGCCATTTTCGGTTCCGGTGGCTCCGTGCGTAT